GGTGTATTGTTTAGAGGAGGGGGAAATTCAGATCTCTTTCTGATGAGAAAAATAAATTTGTATTCAGAGATGGAACTGAAAAAAGAATTCAATCTTTATTATATACTTTGACGTTTCTATAAAATGCTACTAAATTTTGGCCTACAGTAAGAGCTATGAGCATTATTTGTTACTAATTTATAACACCTGGTATCTTGTGGGCCACAATGACTTTCAAAAGCTGGGAAGAAGGTCCGGCAAACTACTGACAAGGTATGATTCAGATGTGGGAGAACCACTGGATTATACACCATCAAAGAAAATAATAGAGTTTCAAGGAGGGAATGCTCAATAGCAAATGTGGCTGAAATTTGATCAACTCTTGGATTTGACATTCAGGAAGTTATTGTTGACCTTGAAAGAACAGTTTAGCATTGTTACAGAATGAAAGCAAAACTGCAGTAGATTGGAAGAAGAGAACGTAGAGCTGCAAAACAGATTCCTCTTAAAAAGTTAAGTGATGAAAAAAAGGAGTTTGATATTCTAAAGAAAAAATGGGATAAGAAAACTTTTTTGAGAATAGAAGGACTGAGAGGAAGGAGTAATCAAGATGTTGTGACAGGAGAATTGGTGTTAATTCACTCTCAAAAGAGGAGAGAAATGGTCAACTGGAGTGAAATGCTTATACAGTGATTTGGCAGGCTTAGAAGTGTGGAGAATATCCTAAAATCACTTGGAAGATGGAAAGAGTAAAACGAAGATCGACTTTTAATTGGAGGGAAGTTAAGGAAATTTGAAGTGTGACTGTTTTGGGAGCAGCAGGAGGAGAAGGCAGTCAGTGTGATATGATGTAATGGGAATGGCATGGGTTTTAGTACCACCTCATTCTTGATTTGGATCTCAGGGTACCACTTTACTGGTTCCATTATCTTGGGGCTATTATTGATCTGCTCAATTGTGATGCCCTCACTGTGAAACAAGAGTTCTAATACCTACTTTGTGAGATTATTGTAAGGATTAGTGGACGTATTTGCAACATATCTGAAACCCTGTATCACTGTACCTGCCATAGTGGTCTTCTTTCAGTTCCTTTAGTGTCTTAGGCTCTTTCCCACTTTAAGACTTCTAGATTTACTTTTACCTCCGTCTGTAAAACTTCTGCTGGTTTTGGTGTTAATTGTCACTTCCAGGAAGAGACATTCTCTGCTTCTGCCATGTAAGGCAACTCCCCTTGTTCTTCAAAGCATACTTATTACAGATTTTAACTGTATTTCTGTAGTTACTTGTTTGTGTGGTTTCTGTGGATCTGTGTCTTCCACTACCTCATAGTGCTTGAATGAATTTGTTATCTCACAGTTTCTGTGAGTCAGTAACTCAGATGTTGTGCGGTTCTGATTCAAGGTCTCTCATAAGACTCCAGTCAAGATTTCAGCTGGGGCTAGAGTCATGCTAAGCCTAACGAAAGTGGGAGGGTTTGCTTCCAAGGTAGCTCATTCACCTGCCTTCCACTTGATGCTGGTTGTCGGCAGGAGCCCTTGATTTCTTTCTGTGGGGATCGTTTGAGGCTCGCTTCCCTAGAACACACAGTGCAAAAGAGAGCAAGGTGGTGTTGATGGAGGGCCCAGCCAATGTCGAAAATCATGAGTTTGTTTCGCAGCAGGCAGGACAATTACATGTTTTGTTTTTCTAGTGTCACAGGAACAGATTCAAAGAAAACAGATGTTGGGTTGACCTAGGTATTCGGGGTTGACACATCATTACAAGGCAAGTCGTGGTGTTGAGATTATATGTATCTTAATTCAGCAATTTGTGTTTGATATGTTTGGTGCCCATTAGACATCTTTGAAAAGGAATCTTTTGGTCTTTGCCAGACATGGAGATGAAATTTCGTCTTGACAGTATGCAGGTAAACATTAGTTCTGAGAAAGTTAACAGGCAACTTTTAATGTGCCTTTCTTTGTGTCAGGTGCTCCACTATGCAATTTTGACATGTATTACCTCATTTAATTTTACAGTAATTCTAGGAGTGAGTTACTCTTATTTTAGAAAGAAAGAAACTCTGGCTTAGAGTCAATGACAACACAACTATTAGGTAGTGGGCCCTGGATCCAAACTCAGGCCTTCTGATAATCAGAGCCCAAACTCTTACATTGAACCATATTGCCTCACTGAATATTTGAAGAAACATTTATCTTAAAATACTAAAGAAGCTGGATTCAAAATTGTGCATTCAATATGATTTTACCTATTACAAAAAACGGTTCTAACTACGTTAACATTTGAGAGTTTTTTCCTCCCCCTTAATTTTGGTGTTTTTCAAATGTTCTGTGAGCAGATCTTATTTAGAGTCAAAAAGAAAGGTTATTTTTAAAAAGCAATTTTGTCCTAAAAATTGGTATTCAAGTTTGCAAAACTGGAAACTGTTTAATGGTGGGTTTTGTTTTTGGTGTTTTTTGATACTATGGCTAAGAAGAACTTTCAGTGTGTCATTTTCATCAAAAATCTACAAATAATTGTTTTGAAATTATCAGTTTCTGCAAAGTGTCATTCTATTGAGTTTGAGGTAATTCAACCATGATAAATGAGTGTAGTCTCCATTTGTCTTCTGTTCAATTTGTTCAGTTCAAGTCTGAATACTTAGAACAGATCAACAAAGCTTGTGGAAAGGACTAAACACCAGCTTTTAGATAAAGTTAGTTTCTTTATTTTAAATCATTTCAAAATAATTTTAAAGGAGTATTTAATAGCAAGTGAGTATAATCTCTTATACAGATTTATCATGGTATAACCTACAAAACTTTTCTGAAATGTTATACAAATGATCACATTTCCTATTCCATGGTATTGATACAAGAATTAGCATATTGCACTAGATCCATGCTCATTCTAGTTAGAATCTCATGTGTCTCAGCAAGAAACACAAAGGAATTAGTTGTGGAAGAACGTGCTTGTTTTGCTTGACTCTAACAACAAACATTAGGATTATACCAAAAAGCTTCTCAATAAAAGAAATTCACATGCCAGCTTTTTTTCCCTAATCATCTATATGCTCCCACATATGTTCATGTTACCAATGACCTCCAACTCTCCAAACCCACTAGCCAGTTCTTAGTCTGTGTCAACATTTCAGTAGCATTTAACTCTGATTCGTCTCAGGCACTCCTTGAAATACTTTCTTCACTTGACTTTTGGGCCACCATACTTTTCTGGTTTTCCTTCCTTTCTTACCAGTCCTTCACTATCGTGCTTTCTGATTTGTTTCTGATTTGTAGTGCTCAGAATGTGGATCTCTTTTTTTCTATTTACAGTTACCCTCTAGGCTGTCTTATCCAGTTCCCATAACTTTAAATGCCATCCATATGCTGAGACTTCCAAATTTATATCTTTAGCCCAGTATCTTTGCTGAGCCCTAGCCTAATATTTTCACATAAACACTTGGCCATATAATGAACATCTCAAACTTAACACATCCAAAAAGACATAAGGAAAAGAAAATCTCTTGGTTATCACTCCACCCCACAGCCATTCCAATTTTTCCCTTCTCTGTAAATAGCATTATATCTATTCAATAGCTTAAGCAAGTAATCTAGGAGTTATCGTTAGTTCTGCCTTTTCTCCCCACTATCTGTATTCATTTAGCAAGTCTTGTTGACTCTACCTTCAAAATGCATTCCAAGTCTAACATTTCTCACCACTATCATTTCACCTAGATACCTGAAACTATGTTCTACTGGTGTGCTTCTACTCTTGCCCCTTTTCAGTTTCATCGTAGCTAGAGTAATCTTTTTGAATATTGTGTATGTTTAGTCATTATTGCAATCAAGATCCCCTAATAGCTTCCCCTCATATTTAGAACAAGTTATAAACTTCTTACCATGGCTTACAGACTATATCATCTGGCCTTTCCTTCTCTCACCAACATCATTCCCTATCACTCATTACCTGCCTTTCTTCTCTAGCCAAACTGACCTTCTTGCTTGTCCTGGAATATACCAAGCTCCTTCCTACCCTTTTGGCCGTTGCACTTGCTGTTTCCTCTGATTGAAACATTCCTCAGAACTTCACATGACTTGTCCTCTCACTTTAACTCTCCACGCAGATGTCACCTTTTGCCTCATAATACTTATTGCCTCCAGTCATTCTGTTAAGCACTCGCATGCTTCTTCACTTTTTATCATCTTACCTCCTCCTAAGGGTAGGGACTTGCACTGTCTTATCACCAGTGTATCCTCAATGCCTAGAATAGTACGTAACACATAATAGATGCTTACAAACATTTATTGGATGAATAAATGCCATTTTACTGAAACAGCTGTCTGATTTACTGGCAAATGGATTCTCCTTATCTCTGGCAACCTGCTCCATGACCTCTCTCTAGTACTTGATGCTATGTGTCTTTCTATCATTCTTCTCTTCTGATTTTTGCATTTTAGTACAACCAACCACCTGCCACAGCACTGTCTCATATACTGTATCATTTAAACTGTCAACTCCTGTTCATTCTTCCTTTGTATTTTGTCTCTTAAATCTATGTCTCCTTCTCTATCTCTTGTGCTACTTAGTTCAAATTTTTATCAACTCTTACTACTTGATTGCGGTAACCTCCCTGCTTCTCATTTTGTCTTAATACATCCTTTATATTACCGTCTAAAGCCTTTAATGTACGTATATTTACCTTTGTATCTCTTGCAGCATCTATCACTTTCTCTTTTTCAGTAGTAGACACTCAGTGAATGTTGAATGAATAGTCCTGTTTCTGGGAAGTTGAATTAATAGGCCATGTAATTTTTTAATGGCTGTAATTCTTTGAAAAGAATTTATACTTAAATAATAATCCTTTATTCCTGTTTTAGAAAAGCTGTAGCAATCTTTGTTGTCTGTTGTCTTGAATGGACTATTTAAGTGACTATAATCGCATAGTGTACTATTGGGTATTTCACAGAAGAATTTTGTTTTTTGATTTAATAGAATTCAAGTAATATCTGTGCTTCTCTATTAAAATAATTCTTTCTTTTCTCTTAAGCTAAAGTCTCCAGTGAATATTGAATTGCTAAGGCATTTGGGGGAAAAAAAAGTTTCCATTCCATGGATCCCTTGGGTGCACCTTCCCAGTTTGTGGAGGTGGATACACTACCAAGCTGGGGTGACTCCTGTGAAGATGAATTAAATTCCTCTGACACCACAGCTGAAATATTTCAAGAAGACACGATTAGATCTCCTTTTCTTTATAATAAGGATATCAATGGAAAAGTGGTTCTTTGGTAATTCTTTGATTATATCATATTGTGAGGAAATGATACTTTCTTATAATTTCTTCTAAACTTTTTTTTGTAAGCCCTGGCATTATTGAAGTATTTATTTGCATATACATATAAGGCTTTATTAAAGTATAATTGACTTACAATAAACAGTACCTATTTAAAATGTATAATCTGATAAGTTTTGAAGTATGCATACATCTATGACACCATCACCACACTAAAGATAGTGAATTTATCTGTCGCCTCCAAAAAAGGAACATAAAAGTTTCAGTGTGTTTCTTTTTAATCCCTTTCTTCACATCCTCAAGCTACCTCTGATCTTCTTTCACTATAGGTTAGTTTGCATTTCAGTTAGTTTTATATAATGGAATCATGTACTTTGCCTGGCTTGTTTCAGCAGAATCATTTAAGTTCATCTGTGTTGTTGCATGTATTAGTAGTAGTTGATTCCTTTAAAAAAAATTTTTTTTATTGAGATATAATTCACATACCATATGATTCACCAATTTAAATTATACAAGCCAGTGGTTTTTAGTATACAGTATTCATAGAATTGTGTGACCATCACCACAGTCAGTTTTACAATGTTTTCATCAGCCCAAAGCCATGTACCTATTAGCAGTCCTGCCTGTCTCCCCCAGTCCCTCAACTCTAGGCAATCACTAATCTACTTTCTGTCTCTGTAGATTTGCCAATTCTGGACATTTCATATAAATTGCATCATTACAATGAAATATGTGTTTTTTTGTGACTCAGCATAATGTTTTCAAGATTCATCCATGTTGTATTAAGAATCAGTACTTGACTCCTTTTTATGGCTTAATAATATTCCATTGCATGGATATACCACATTTATTAGTTCGTTAGCTGATAGACATTTAGGTTGTTTCTACTTTTTGCTATTATGAATAATACTGCTATATCTAAATTCTTAAGCCAACTACTTTTAGCTCTGTAAGAGTCTATCACAAAGAAAGAGAAATAGGTAAGAAGCAAAAGCATAACATGATGATTTTGTGAGTTTCAGAGTTGTAGCAGCTGCATTAAAGATCTGTCTAAGATACCAGTTTAATTTTTTTAATCAAAATTTTCTTTTTACTGTTGCTTAGCTTGTGAGCTAGTGAAAGCAGCACTGTGAAACAGAGGCAAGAATAGAATGTTTTCAAAGAATTAGAAAGTAGGTTCCTTATCTCCCTCTTCTTCCACACACTTGTTCTTTAATTGTTGGTTGATTCCTCAGGAAAGGTGATGTGGCATTACTGAACTGTATAGCCATTGTGAATACCAGCAATGAAAGTCTCACAGATAAGAATCCTGTGTCAGAAAGTATTTTCATGCTTGCAGGACCTGATTTGAAGGAGGAACTCCAGAAACTTAAAGGTGAGTGAATTTTCTTAAGTATATTATTGCTTAGGAAATACTGATTTTGATATCCTCTACCTTGAAGAAGCATATTTTGCTTATAAGTTAGGAAAGTATATAGATACAACTTTTTCTTTTGTTGAAACTAAATTAAAATAGCTTTTGAAAGCTCAGTTTTTACAATATTTAACACTTTTTGGAATGTATTAAAAGCTGACTCCTGAGAATTTACTCTCAGTAAAACTTCACTGTCATGTTCTTTAGTTTTGAAATGACAATAATTGTAGCTGGTTAGATCTTTGGTAGCATTTTCCTGGCCTTGTGAAACAACCATCCTTCTGAACTGAAAAAACTTTAAAATTACTAACCTAGAAGTCCTGTGTTACTGTTATTTGAGCCCAAATGGAATATTGTGATATTCAGTCTTCTCATTTTATAAAAAGTATTTATGAAATTCAGCAATGTTAATGTAAATAGCAAATCCCACCTGTATAAAATCTTGCTTTTTTCTATCTCCTACCACTTAACACTGACAACTAGTTTCTAACCTAATAAAAATACCAGAATTTGAACAGGAATATGTATAGTGCTGGTGCTGAGAAAGAAGGAATAGAAAGAAAAGAATTACATTTTTTGGTCAAGAAACTGAATTTTTACTAACTCAATTTTGTAGAGGGAGGTAAAACCCTTAATTAAACTACAAAACAATATACCATGAAGAGCATGTAGAAATTAGAAAGGATATTAAAAATAATGCTGAGAAATTCTTTGGTAAAAGTAACAGAATAGCTAGTCTGCAAAAATTCCTGATGGTGTGTGTACATATATACATGTATGTTTACATACACCTTAGAGCTAGACCTATGGATATTGAAGAAAATAAGAAAGTTTAACATAAGTATACATGTAAAACTTCAATATTTAATAACATGTTCAAGAGTGTCTAAGCTGGGTTCATATCATAACTCTGCCCTTTGCTATGTGACTTAAGTCCAGTTACTTCACCTCTGAGTCTCCTCATCTCCTCATTAGAGTTTCTTCATCTCTAAAATGGAGATAGTAATAGTAGCAAGAGCTTAATAAATAATTATTTGAGGAGGGACAAAACTTGATATCTTGAAGATTAAGTACTGAACATTAACTACCAGGCACGTTCTAAGTGTTCAACAGGTATTATTTCTGGTGTTAATTATTAGGCTTCAGTTGTCTTCTTTAATGAATCAGTGCCAACTTTAAGAGAGGTTATTGGATGCACTGAAGGGCTGAGTACTTAATCAATCCTATCCCCTTTTTACATTTTAATTAACAACTTAATAAAAGATAACAAAGTGCGACTTACTGAAGTTGAATGGGTAGCAGGAGATACTGGATGATAGAATCAAGATTTAAATACCTGAACTGACCAGAAGTTGAGGCAAAAAATGACAGACTTAACAGGGATGAATCTTAAAGTCTTGCAGTAAGTTCAGAACATTACCCGGCTTCAGGATGGGAAAATCTGGTTTGACAACCCTTCTTGTGTAAAGAAGCATTTTCTATCTCAATAAAATGGCATTCCCTTCCACTCCATTTTTCATGCAAGAAACTTTAGGATTAATACTTCCCTCTTCCTTATTCTCACAGTAAAGGCTTACATCTGCCCTAAATTATCTTGAATCTATTTCTACTCATCACCACTACCTCCAGCCTAGTGTGGCAACTGTTTCCCGCTGCCTGGACTACCGTGGTAGCCTCTCACAACTGGTCTCCCTACATCCATTCTTCCTTTTTTAAATCCACTGTCCACACATGAACCAGTAAGTGTAAATCCCTTCTTATTGCTCCTCTTCGTTAAACCATGCAGTGACCTCATTTAAACTTAAAATCCAGACTCCTCAAGCTGACCTCCAAGGCCATACAAAATCTCACTCACTCACCTCCAGGCTTATCCCTCACCCTCTTTTTCTTCCTCACCGCATGTGAGCCAAACTGAACTGTCACTACCTCGCTATTTAAGCTCCTTTCCAATTTTGCATGTGCTATTATGAACCCTTATTCCTACGTCTTGACTTGCATCTCTTCCTCAAAGTGCTGTTTCTTTTATTTCAGAATAGGTCGATCTCCACGTGATACATGCTCCCAGCCTGCAGTACTTGTCTTTTGTGCCTTTATCACAGTTGTAATTTTGTAAATTGCCATGTGATGATCATGTCCTCATTAAATTGTAAACTCCACGTGAATGAGAACTGTATGAAGTAGCTTCCCTGTGCCCAATACCAAGAATGGAGAAGGCATCCTTTATGTAGCTGATAAATAGAAGTTCTTGAGGATTTTGATTGAATAGATTGAGTTGATAATGTGTTGTTTCTACTGTAAAAACTATGAATATCAGACTGTATCATTAGAAGTACGCCATCAAAGCCCAAAGTGGTTTCTCTACCCTGGTAGGACCGTATTTTATACTGTCTTGCACTATAATGTATTATTTTCTGAGTCAGGGTCTCACTCTGTTGCCCAAGCTGGAGTGCAGCAGCACAATCACGACTCACCACAGCCTCGACCTCCTGGGCTCAGGCAGTCCTTCCACCTCAGTCTCCCGAGTAGCTGGGACTGCAGGTGCTCGCCACCACACCTGGCTAATTTCTATTTTATTTTTGTAAAGATGAGGCCTCGAGATGTTGCTCAGGCTGTCCTTGAACTCCTGGTCTCAAGCTCGCCTCCCACCTCAGCCCGATTACAGGCTTGAGCCACCGTACTGGGCCGGAAATTCTTTTTTCTGTTTGGTGGGGTAGCTTCCCCCACTTTCTAAATCTCATGTCTTTCTCTTCTTTAATGTACTCCGTCATTTTTGTGAGTAAATCTACCAGGAGATTTCTGAGAAGAGTACAGATTACTGAGACCTTACTTCTACCTTCATATTAATTGGCAATTTGCTTGGAAATAGAATTCTAGTTTGGAAATCGTTTTCCAGAATTTTGAAGGTGCTGCTTCATTGTTTTCTGTTTTGAACAGTGCTGTTGAGAAATCTGATGCTGTATTCATTCCTGATTCTTTGTATGTTTCCAGTTTCTTCCTGGGAACTTTATGATCTTGTCTCTGTTTCTGATTTTATAAAACTTCTCAGGAATGTGTCTTCATGTGATTTGGGTATTTTCTGCAAGCAGTTAGGTTTCTCTGCTCTGCCAAGTCAGTTATTATTAGTCCATTGACTTTCTACCTTCCAAAATTTTGTTGATGCTTACTGCTTTGTGTTCTTTCTCACTTCCTTTGTCTCTGGTCTTATACCTATTGTATTGCTTCACTGTCATTTTGGAACAGAAGAAACAGGTACATGCTTGTGTTCAGTTCATATTTTCAACAGGAATTTCTCTAAGTTCATACTTCTATCTTAAGTATGTTTGCATTGTTTTCAGGTTGCCGAACAGGTGAAGCAAAGTTGACAAAAGGATTTAACTTAGCTGCCCGGTTCATCATACACACAGTGGGACCTAAATACAAGAGCCGCTACCGCACAGCGGCTGAGAGTTCCCTGTACAGCTGCTACAGAAATGTGCTTCAACTGGCGAAGTATGGTCTAGTCATTTTCTGGACATAGCATGCGTACATGGGTAAAGTCCCGGTTGTAAAGATAAAACCTCGTGATGGAAGTCAAATTTTGAGGGACTTAGATAATTTAGGAGGATCCTGAATATAGAAAGAATTATCTTTTCAAACTCAGCAAGATAAATGGTATGGATTTGAGAGATTTGCAGATTTAACCTATTCCCATCTTATTAAGCTTTTATGTGAAATACAAATCCCCTAAAGAGAACAATTAAATTATAATTAATATAATTAGCTGTTATAGTAGATTTGTTGAGGTAGGAAAAGTGTTTAGCTGCATTTTTAATTAGTTATGTATTTTTATGTATACACTGAATGTTTATAGTGCAATATTTGTGTTTTCTATTTGATTGCAGAGAGCAGTCAATGTCTTCTGTTGGATTCTGTGTCATCAATTCTGCAAAACGAGGTTATCCTTTAGAGGATGCAACACACATAGCACTTCGTAAGTACTGGAGATGCTCTATGTAAATTGAATCTTTAAAAAAACTTTTACCACTAGTTAAATAGTTACAGCAAGAGATGGAAGTGATGGGTGAGTGGTATCCAATCCAAGGTAACCATGCAAGCAGAGATAGGGCGGCATAAAAGTAGCATGTTTAGAATACAGAGAAGAAGATGATTTGGCTAAAGCATAAGATACATGGAAGGAATAGTTAGAAATAGGACTAAGGAACAAAGTAAGGATCAGTGGTTAGTTGGTACTAGAGTATAGAGAGTCATACCAGGGACACTGAATCTTAAGCTGTAAGCAGTGCTGAGCCATGACAAGTGTTTTGTAAGGGTAATTCAGGCATCAGTGAAGATATGAACTTGGTGGGGGGGAGAAGCAAGGAGAACGGTTATGAGCTTGTTGCCCAAGTGTGTGAGCATTGAGAACCTGGAGAGAGGAGGAGTCAATGTTCAAAATACTCACAGTAGAATTAAAATTTGGGGAGGGAGAGACACAACTTAAATCAGGGCACCTGATCTCAAGCCAGGCGAAGTGAGAACCAAAGGGAGGCCCAAACGTTACCTGTACATTGACCACTTGGATACCTAATCCTGAATTGTACCCCACATCTTTAAAATTAAAGGAAAGAGAACGAAGATTCCTGGGGACTATTTGAAAATGCAGGATGAAGGAAGAGGTAAAGGAAATGCCAGAGGAAATTCAGGATTCTAGCTTGGGTAATTGGTTGGATGTTGATATGTAACTGAGATACGAAATGCAGGTAAAGGAGCAGGTTTGGGGGGAAGAAGGTAGAGTTAAGGATTTGAACCTGTTGGGATCAGGTTGGGACATGCTGAGTCTGAGGTCTCTGTGGGTTATCTGGATAGTATATCCATGCATTACGGAATTCAGAACTTTTGTTTAGAAAACAATACAAAGATTTTGCAGCCATCAGCATTTGCAGTAAAACTGAACGAGCAAATTAGTGAGCTAAGGAGAATTTATGTATCAGGAAAAAAAAGAATGTTGAGGACAGAACCCTGGAGAACATTTTAGAAAGGTAAGGGCCTGGGTGGTAAGAACTAAAGTTAGAGAGAGATCCAGTGAGCTAAGAACTGAAAAAAATAGGTCTTGTTCTCAGGAAGTTGATAGAGAAGAAGCAGGATAACATAGGAATTAAGAAAAAAATAGTTCCACTTTGGTTTTATGGAGTTTTGTCAGGATAAAGGGCTGAGTCGGACGTCTAATTCTGTAGCTGAGTGAATGGGAAGACACTTGTGCTAGATCATTCTGGTCAAAGAGAGGTCCCGGGGAATAAGAAGAATATGCTGGATAAGGGAGAATTGTCTAGAGTCGGCATCTTGCATGGCCATGCACTGTTCTGGACACTGGAAATAGAGCAGCATAAAGTGTCTTCTTTTGTGGCGCTTTCATTCTAGCAGATGAGGAGGAGAGGGCAGAGGGGATATACACTGAGCAAGTAACTCCATAAAATGCCCGTAACAGTTGCTCTGGAGGAAAGCAAATCAGAGAAAGGTTTTTATGTTGGTAGTCTGGGCAGGATGCACTGATAGAAAATCACTGAGCAGAGACCTGGATGAAATGAGAAGTGATCCATTATAAAAATAAAACTTTGACGAGTTTGATTTTCCTTTATGCGTAAGTAGTTTTTTATTTACTGAATCATATTTCTGTTTTTTTCCTTAGGCACAGTAAGGAGATTCCTAGAGATTCATGGAGAAACCATTGAAAAAATAGTATTTGCTGTCTCTGATCTTGAAGAGGTATTTTGCTAATTGTTACATTATGTAAATCTTACTTTTGCTTTTAAGTGTTTGCTTTTGTCTTATCAGTATATATTTACTGAATTTCCAGCACACGAACCCTAAGTAAGTGTATCATTGGCAGTGGAACTTGCTGTCATTCACTGAAAAGGACTATGCTGGAGACTAAAAACAATCAGGAAGGAGCAAATTTTGTTCATGTCTTTTACTGCTAAACTGTTGTTACTGTAAGTGAGATCTTATCAAGTGTGATTGTTCTGCTTGCTTCCCTGTGTTAGCTCTCAAAGTATCCACTTATAACCTGAGCACTAGTGTTTGGCAGCAAAACTGGAAAATTGCTGCTGTGCTAGGAAAGCTTTGGTGTCTGCCTGACCTGGTGTGAACCTAGCCTGGTTATTGGCACTGAGGAAGTTGTGAGGTTTACATGTTTTGTTGTCTGTAGTTAGGCTTAGAATGTTTCAATGCAATTTCAAGACATTTTAGAAAATCATTTCTTTTTTTCTTATTAAGCCTTATTTAGTTTTAGAGTTCTGTGTTCAATTCAGCTTCTAATATATTTCCCAGTTTTGTGTCCTTGGGCAAGTTATTTAACCCCTCTTTGGTAAAATAGGAATGCTAATAGTACCTATATCACAGAATTTTTGTGATAATTGAGTTAGTACATGTGAGGTATCTACTCAAAGGATATATAGCTCCATAGATGATCTAACAGGTATTTTTGAATTTACTGAAGAAAAAAAGACATTTACTTTGTTTGCTATCTCTTATTCCACCTGGTTTACCTATACTCCAATGATTTTTGATTGAATGTCTACCGTATATCAGGTTTGCTATATTAGGTTCTGGGAATACACTGGTGAATAAGTCATGGTCATTTCCTCAAGGAGCCCATTTTCTGTTGTGGAGACAGACAAGGATAATTGTGATAAGTGCATTAATGGAGGTTTAAGAAAGAGGACATAATTCCAGCATGGCATGAGGTTAGGACATGCTTCCCACAGGAAGTGATATGTAAGTGAAAATCACTACAAAAGATAAATAAGATTTGCCAAAAGAGAGGCAAGTGAGAATTGTCATACAAACCTAAGCAAAGATATGTAAGTAAGAAATAGCATAGTGGTTAGTGTTACTGTTATATAAAATGTGAGACTCAGTGTGGCAAAAATGAAAGTTAAGTAGGGGCAGGATCATTCAAGGTCTGTGTCACGTACTGTGGGATTTAGGTTTTCATCAGTTGTACAGTGGGGAAACGAGGGTTTTTTGTTTGTTTGTTTTGTTTTTGACTTGGAGTCTCACTCTGTCGCCGAGAGTGCAGTGGCACACTCATGACCACCCCAGCATCAGCCTGCTGGGGTCCAGCAATCCTTCCGCCTCAGCCTTCCAAGTAGCCAGAACTATAGGCGTGTACTACCAGGCCCAGCTAATTTTTGATTGATTGTAGAGATGAGGTCTCGCCAAGTTGCCCGGGCTGGTCTCGAACCCACGGGCTCAGGCAATCTGCTCACCTCGGCCTCCCAAAGTGCTGGAATTACAGGCTGAGAAACAAGAGGATTAAGCAAGCAAATTATGTGATCTAGTATCTTTTTCATCTGTGTGGAAGATGATTTGGAACAAGAAAGACTGATTGCAAGAGGAGATAAGAGATGGTTGCAATATTCCAAATGAGAACAAGGGCACTGGTGATGCTGAAATTGTAACTGTTTAGTAAAGAAGTTTAGCTGGAGTTGATGGTTGATTAAATATGTAGGGGGAAAGGAAAAAGGAATTAAACAGGACTCCTAGGTAGACAGTGATGCCACAAATGAGATAACAAATAGAAAGGGGAACACATTTTCGAGAGGGGATGAAGACAAGTTCTTTTCGGAGGGTGTTGAATCTCGGAGATTGGCGGATTGTCAGGGCAGACGATCAGCCAGTCACAATGCTTATCAGGTGGCAGCTGGAGAGTGAAGTGTAAGCTGGAGATTTGGCCATTGTTTTAGAATAGGCTGTCAAGTAAGATACAGCTCTTGCTCTCAGGGAGTCTGTAGGTCAATAATGAGACAGACAAGCAAGCAAAGATCTCCCTACAGTGTGGCACATGCCGTGCTCACACGTATACCACGGTGCTGTGGTAGCTTACTGGGCACCTGACCCAGGCCCGGAGAAATAGAGAAAAAAATCTTTACCCTCAATATACCTGGAGAAATAGCTGTCAGCATTTACCCTCTTTTTAAAAAACCCTACCTCTCATCATATACAAAATTTAACTCAAAATGAATCAAAGACTCAAATGTGAAACCTCAAACTATAAGAACCTTAGAAAAAAACTTAGGAAACACCCTCCTGGAGATTGGCCTAGGCAGTGAATTCATGGCCAAGTCCTCAAAAGCAAATGCAGCACAATCTGAAATTGACAAATGGGACCTTATCAAGCTAAAAAGGTTGGTATATAGCAAAAAAAAACTGTCAAGAGAAGAGAGACAACCCACAGACTATGCAAAACTATTTGTAAGTTATGCATCCAACAAAGACCTAACGGGATCTACAAGGAATGCAAAGCATCTGACAGAAGAAAGCAAATAACCCCGTTAAAAAGTGGGCAAAAGACATGAACAAACACTTCTCAAAGGAAAATATGCAAGCAGTCAACACAGATGAAAAAGTGCTCAACATCACTAATCATCAGAGAAATGCAAATCAAAACTATAATGAGATACCACTTCATACCAGTCAGGACTGCTATCATTAAAAAGTCAAAAAATAACAGATGTTGGTGAGGCTGTGGAGAAAAAGAATAGAGAACCCTTCCACACTGTTGGGAATGTAAGTTTGTTCGGCCTTTGTGGAAAGCAACCTGGTATTTTCTCAAAGAACTAAAATTTGAGCTACCATACAACCTAGCAGTCCCACTTCTCAGAATATACTCAGAAGTGCATAAATCAGTTTACCAAAATGACACCCGTACATGGATGTTTATTGCAGCACTAATTCACAATAGCAAAAACATGGAGCCAACACAGATGCCAGTCAAAACTGATCTGGATAAATAAAATGTAATACATATACACAGTGGAATACCACACCGTTATAAAGAGGAAAAAATTCACGTCCATTGAAGCGACATGAGTACAGCTGGAGACCATCATTGTAAGTGAAATGTCACAGAAACAGAAAACTGAATATTACACGTTCTCCCTCATAAGTGGGAACTTAACACTGGGTACATGGACACAAAGGTGGGAACAGCAGACTCTGGGCACTGCTCAAAGAGGGAAGGACGGGGAGAAGGGGTCCACAGCCACTCACTGGGTACCGTGTCCACTAGAAGCCTAAGCTTCTTTTTCATGCAGTATACTTATGTAGCAAATCCTCACATGTACCCCATGACTCTAAAGTTTAAAAAATAAAAAGTCATTTATGAATAATTTATAGAAGAATAAAGGGAGAATTAAGAAGATTTTATTAGACATTTCAGTAAGAATTTAAACATAGCAGACCTCTTTGTGTCAAGTAAATTTTATTGCACAAACATCATAAAAGATGAAAGAATACTGTCACACATCTTCTTTAGCAAAATGGGATGGATGGTCCACATTTCTTATCACAAAATATTCTGTGGTGAAGTTCTTCCTGTTGAACAACTCAGTGAATGAAAATACCGTATTTTCTCTTTGTCCTTAGAAATGTATTATTAACTCACAGATTGTTTAATTGGAGAAAATCTAGAATATTGTTGTCTGGATATTCAGTGTTTGAGATTTTACTTTACATGACAAATCTTGTGATCATCATTAGAGTGCGGCTATCCATTTCTTTGCATTCATTTTTTAATTCTTTCAGTGATTACAAAGTATCTTTATTTAGTTGTTTTCTCTCTACTATTATGGGCTGAAAATGAAAAATTCTGAATTCTGAACTCTATCCCATGAAAGTTAAAAGTAGACTGCACACAGTCTGGGCACAGTGGCTCATACCTGTAATCCTAGCACTTTGGATGGCCAAGATTGAGGCCAGGAGTTCATAATACTGGGCAACATAGTGAAGCTCCATCTCTAAAAAGATAGACAGAGATAAGATAAATAGATAAGAGATAGATAGATCATTGATAGGTAGGTAGGTACTTTAAAAGAAAGGACTACAACAAGAAAACTACAGATCAACATCTTACATGAATAGCGATGCAAAAATCCTTTAAAAATATTGCAAAACTAAACTCAGCAACATATTAGATTGATGCATAACTTTGTAACGTTTGTTTTTGGCATTGTGATGCTACAGTGTTGGAAGTTTATCGTTTGTCATTTGGAGTGACAATGCTGTACTTGTGAATACGTCTTGCATTTTGCAAATTTGAAGAAAGTGCTACTTGTGGGCTAAAAAAGCGGGAGTGTTGAGTGGGGAAAAAATGAACACTTCTGACATATTCTTCTGTTTGAGTTTAGCAGAGACTGCTTGAAATATTTGTGGTGTTCAGGGAGAATGCCCTCGGGGAAAGCACAGCAAGAAAATGGCTTCTCACTTCAAAGAAGGCCAGTTCGGCCTGAGGGATTTTCCGTGTTCAAGAAGATCCTCGGGCTTTGGCGAAGACCATTACGATGCTTTAATCCACGGTGATCCGTCAGTCAGCGGTGATGAGCTGTGACCAGTCAAGCAGCCATTCTGTGACGTTTGCATTCCATGCGCAAGCAGGGAAATGCTGCGCGCTTATGCACCAGCCCATACGAAAGGAAAGGGCTATAAGCCATCGCCAAGTAGGGTTTATCCGAGGAATGCAACACTGGCTCAGCACGCAGACTCCAATCAACGTAATAAACCATAGTAATAGAATAAAGGCTAGAACCTCAAGATCCTTTCAGTAGCTGCAGGAAAAAAGTATTGAACAAAATCCGACGCTCTTTTGTGGTGCATGCAGCAAACTAGAAATAGAAGAGAATTTCTTCAACCTACAGCCATGATCTTAGACGTGAAGCTTTCAGTCTTTCAGCATAACGGTGAAATGTCTAAGATCAGAAACAAGACAGGGATGTTCACTCTTGCCACTTTTATTCAGCATTGTGCTGGGCTTTCTAGCCAGGTTATTTAGGCAAGAAAAATTAACAGACACCCAGGTTGGAAAGAAACAAGTAAAACTATCTCTGTTTGCAGATGACATGATCTTACAGAAAATCCTAAAGTGTCTACACCCACTCACACACAGACTGTAAGAACTAATAGAGGTCAATGGGATTACAGGACATAAGATCATTATACAAAAATAAATTGCATTTCCACATACTAGCAATAAATAACCCAAAAACTGAAATTAAGAAAACAATTCTATATACAGTAAAAAAATCAATATTTAGAACTAAACAAAAGAACAATAAGATTTGTACATTGAAAACTACAAAGCCTTTTGAAAGAAATTTTAAAGATCCAATAATCTTAATGTTGTTAAGATGACAGTACTCCCCAAATTGTACTATAGATTTAATGTAATACTTATTAAAATCCCAACTCGCTTTTTGCAGAAATTGACAACTTGATCCTAAATTTCACATGGAAATGCAAGGACCCAAAATAGTCGAAACAATCTTGAGAAAAAAAGAAGGACATTGAAGGATTCATATTTACAAATTTCTAAATTTACTGCAAAGCTTTAATAATCAAAACTATAGTACTGGCATAAGTATCGATGGAATTGAATTTTCAACAATGGTTCCAAGGCAGTTCAATGGGGGAAAGGAATCGTTTTTTCCACAAATGGTATTGGGACAACTGTATATCCACATGCAAAAGAATGAAATTGGACCTGTTAGGTCACACTCCTAGCTGGGGCCTCCAGAATGTTAGGTTAGGCCCGCTGGGGGTGTGGGTGTCTAGCGTGCAATCTGGTGCCACAAGAAAGATGCAAAAAATTACACAAAAGTTCGATTGGAAAGTATAGTTTATTTAAAAAGTAAATTCGAGAGAGAAAAACAGAAGATTCACCTCCCTAAGGTAGGGAAGGGGACTAGGGTTAGAAAACATGGCAGTGGCCATAGCTCAAGGGGCACATGGCTACACCAGAGTCTAGTAAGGCAGTGGCGGCTGGCTGTTCCAAGTTGAATGCTTTTAAACATTCCCCTTGATGGGAGCATGTCATTAAGGTGGTTGGATGGTGGTCTGCTCCACATCATCACGAAGGGGCAGGTAAGCGCTGGTACTGACATCAGGTGATGGACCACAGGCAGACAGGTGGGCTAGTCACATGACTGCTGCCATGTGATGGGGTCTGTGTCACAAAGGTCATGAAGGACTGATTAAGTTAACTTGGGTCTAATGGGTGGAGGCAAATACTTGAAATAGAAAAGCTAATTAGTACAAAACAAGCTGAGGAGGGGGTTGTAAAGCAATTATCAATAGCTACCTCTGAGAAATATTCTGTCCTTAGCTAGTGATTAAAGGGTAAGTTAAGTGAACTGCTAGAAAAACATGAGATTTAGGCAATGTTAAAATGGCTGCTCATTGAGTATATTAAATCCGTGCTATGTCCTTTCAGGACCTCTTCCTCACACTGTATACAAAAATTAGCTTAAAAGGGATCCAGGGTATTCCTTGCCTTGGAAATGTAAGAGTTAAAATTATAAAATTCTTAGAAGAAAATGTAAGTTTGAATCTTCTTGACCATCAGTTAAGCAGTGGTTTATTAGATATGATGCCAAAAGCACAAACAGCCAAAATTAAAAAGATAAGTTAGACACGCTTATAACTCAACAATAAAAAATACATACATATATAACCCAATTAAAAATGAGCAAAAGTTTTTAGTAGACATCTTGTTTTGTGCCCAGGTTCTAATTAATAAATTAATTGTTGACTGAGTGACAACACAGAGGTCAATAACATTTAAGGAAAGTTAAATGTTACTCCCAGTCCCTGAGAAAAGAGGCATGGCAAGCTATGGAGAGCCACAGGAGGAACACCAGGTTTTGACCAGGCAGCAGAAGTAGGTGATAGGGGTATTCCAAGCCAGAGACTTCATTGGGTTTTCTTAGGGAAAGGCATGGCAAAGCCGGGCAGTGTAGACAGTTTAGGATTGAATAATTCCAAGCAGACTTTGCACTGTAGGAATAGTCTCCAGTTGCCTGACATCTGAACCTGGGATGTTTTCTGCCAGGGGAAAGATTAGTTTCATGTAGGAGAGTTAGATAAGGAGATGGTTGGCCTGTAGTTTCATGATTGGTTGGTTTGCATATGCAAAGTGTGCTCCCAGGTAAGTTGTTTACTGTCTTTAGGAATTAGCTACTCCTGAGAGGGGCAGTCTTACCCGACCAGCAAGCTTTTAAAACATGAAAACACCATAGAATAGGAAAAATAAAAACCATGGCTAATACAAATTTCTTCTAAGAAGATATATATATATTACCAGTAAGTACCGAAAAGATGCTCCCCACAACCAACCATTAGAGAAATACAAATCAAAACCACTTCACATCCACTAATATGACTGTAATTACAAAGAAAAACAAATGTTGGCAAAGATGTGGAGAAATTGGAACTCTCATACATAGCCAGTGAGAATGTAAAACTTGTACAGCTACCTCAGAAAACAGTCTGGCAGTTCTACAAAAAGTTAAACATAGAGTTACTATATAGTGCAGCAGTTCCACCCTTAGGTATATATCAAAGAGAACTGAAAGCATATATCCACACAAAAATTTGTACACAGGTATTCAGAGCAGCATTCTTTATAATGATCAAAAAAGTAGAAACAACTCAATGTCATGAACCGATGAACTGATAAACAAAATGTGTATATACACAGACACACACACAATGGATTATTATTCAGCCACAAAAAAGGAATGGAGTACTTAATAAGTGCTACGATGTGGGTGAACCTTGAAAACATGCTAAACGAAAGAAACCAGATACAAAAGGCTGCATATTATGTTCCATCTTTGATGAAATGTCCAAAGTAGGCAAATTTATAGAGGTAGAAAGTTACCAGGGACTGGAGAGGGAGGAATAGAGAATGGTTTGGGTTGCTGTTTTTTTTTTTTTTGAGATATGGTGAAAACGTTCTGAAATCCGACAGTGGTGATGATTGTATAGCCTTGTGAATGTTGGGTTTGAAAGACGGTCGAAGCTGGGCAGTCATACTCTGGGCACGTGACGTGTACCTGTAACCCTAGCTACCTGAGAGGCTGAGGTGGTAGGATGGGTTGCTTAAATCCAGGAGTTTGAGACTAACTGGGGCAGCATAATGAGATCCTGTCTTGGAAACCAAAGCAAGCAAAAGCTTCTTGGAACACTGAATTATATACTTTAAAGGCTGAATTTTGTGGTGTGTGAATTATATCTTAATTTTTTTTAAAAAAGACTATGAAGACATTGCTTCTAGTCGTCTTATATACACAGTTAAAAGATGATACAATACAGTGGGCAACATAATAAAAAAACTGAAGGCTACTTCATCATTCTTTTGTTTCCTTATTATAATTTAGTCTATTTTAGTATAGTTTGTAATAATTGATGAATGATGCTAAGTAATGATAAAGTAATTCCTAGGATGATAAAAAAGCAAAATGTTTCAAGATACAGGAAAAATAAGGGCATTAAATTCCTATAATGTATTGTGGATTTATGAATGAGTGCAATGGACCAAGCCACGTGGAGATTATAAGACAGAATGAGTTTTATTCTGTTTCTTTTTTTAAAAAGTAAAATTTGTCTTTGTTCTTTCAAAAACCTTTAAGAAAAAATACAAATTATGAAATAGAGCCCTTTACAAATAGTTAGAAATGTTACCCAAAACCCTCAGAAAGTAAACCTGGGTCACATGAACCTCAATGGCACATGGAGTATTAAGGAAATAGCATCTGAGCTGAATTTTGAAGGATGGATACTATTAGGAAGTGAAGGACGGGATGGAGCCAGTAGGGGCAGACTTGCGCGTTTTAGGCTCAGTGGCCTGGAATTGCCAGGATGGGCATCTTGTTTGGCTTGACTTGCCAACAGTACCATGACCTTCATCACAAAAATGGGTGGAGGGTCCCACACAGCATCTAGTCTGAGCTCAGAGGTAGTGAGATCTGTATCCTTGATGGAAGCCACCTTCACGGTGTATGGACAGCACTAAGTAATTCTAAGGTCTGCTTCATTGCTTCCTTATTTTTCACAACATGTCTTGCTTTTCTGACACAGGCTGCATACCAAAAGTTGCTACCTCTGTACTTCCCAAGGTCGTTAAAGGAGGAGAGTCGATCTTTGCCATACCTACCTGCGGATATTGGAAATGCAGAAGGAGAGCCTGTGGTACCTGAACGGCAGATTAGAATAAGTGAGAAACCTGGTGCTCCAGAGGGTGAGTCCTAGATTCTAACATTCTTTTTCTCCTGAGTCGGAATCTCACTGTGTCACTCTGTTGCTCAAGCTGGAGTGCAGTGGCACACTCACGACCACCACGGCCTCCATCCGCTGGACTCAGGCCGTCCTTACGCTTCAGCCTTCCTGGTAGCTGGGACTACAGGCATGTGCCACCACACTCAGCCAATCTTTGTTGTCGTTGTAGAGACTAAGTCTCGCCATGTTATGCAGGTTAGTCTCAAACCCCTGGGCTCTGGCAATCCTCTTGCCTCCGTCTCCCAAAGTGCTAGGATCACAGGCTTGAGCTACCGTGCCCAGGCTAGAAGATTCTAACTTTCTTAAGGAAGAAAAATAAGATACCAACCCTCCAAAAAGTGAGAAGTTCAGCTTGACCTGGGATGCTCTCTATAGGTATAACACTAAGATCAAGACCAGTTGAGAGGTTTTCAGAGGCCTATTGTTGTTGAAATTTAAAAGTTAAATCTACAGGTAGGTAGTCAGGTAGACAGACAAAGACAAATAGGTGGAAAGATAGACAGATGTATCAAGTCTTTGTGAGGCAGCAGGGATTCAGAGGTGGATATAACAGCATTCTCGTCCTAACAAGCTTATCGTCTCATGCAGGACACTGTTGAGATAGTCGTCAGGTACGTTGTCATCTAACATGTTAAATAGTTTTCACAGGGTCCTCTAAAAGCCGTACCTAACATTAAATACTAAGACAAAATTACAATAGCCATTCCTTTTGTTTCTTTGTGAGATGTACTCATGTAGGTTGAAGGTAGTAGATAGGAGGCATGTTAGGATGGAAGCACTTCTCAACTTATTCTGTACGATAGCTTATACTGATTTCACATACGTGTTTAAGATCATAAGCCTTTCTGTGGAGACATGCTTCATAAGCTTTGATGCTGCGTCTGCATCCTGAAATCCAGCAGCTTAGGGAATTACTGTCAGATTCTGACTGTGAATACTTGTTTTAAAAAGAGCGTCAAGCTAAAATCTGTAGACAGCTACTCAACTTTTTATTACCAGCATAAGACATCAGGTGGAGTTACTTATAAATGGTCTTGCATCAGGAAACGTCTGTGAACCCAGTTTTGCTGGAGGGGTACCCACTTTGGGGAGCCTTCAGTAGAGGAGATCCTTGAAATAAGACCCAGAGTCATTTTGTGTGAGCACCATACAATGTTTTCCTCCATAAAATGCATTTAGTGTGATAAGGCATTTTGAAGAGCCAAACCAGTTTGAATGCCGGGCAGTTGGTTAGACTGACTCTGAGACTAGCTCATTAGCCAAAATGTGCTCTTCTATCTACCATTCTCAGAGAGCATGATTTTGCATTTATATGCCAGAAAATATTGTCACTTTATAGACAGAGGCCTTAGTATTCTTAAATATTTTTAATGAGAATGTTAAGTCCATATATATACAACCAAGCTTTACTTGAGGAGTATTTTTAATGAAAGCAGCCCCTTCTAAACTATTGGCCTGTCACAGTTTGAGGAGCAGTGAAGTGTGGATATGTGGAAGTCCCAGCTGATGATTCGAGTGGCATTGCCTTGGGAAGTTCTTTATGGTGCAAGCTTTTTCTGGTTTTGTTTTTAACAGGTTTTTTGTAAGGTGATGGGCACCACGTTAAGAGGTGATCTCTTCCTAAGAGCCTGGTTTCTACTACCCATACTCAGTGGTCTTGCGATATACCAGAAAGTTTACTTGTTAATTTGTAGTGAGAGCTAGAACTCTTAAGGACCAACACGATTATGTTGGCATGACCAGTGCAGAAAATGAGGTTGCTGAATTACGACGGAAATATATTTTAGTGACTGTGGACCATACCCTGCCATCGTGGTTCATCCAGCTTCCTTGGGGTGTTACCTGACAAAAGGACTGGAGTTGATGTGCCAGTCAGATACTTCCTCCTTACACAATGCTATGTAAATTCTCCTAAATGTTTGTTTGTTATACTTCTCTTTTATTAGATGCTCTGTGATGAGCTGTCTTTAAACCCAAACTCAATCTAATTACTTCTTTTTGAGTGCAATCACATTCCACCCTTTTTGTCCTAAGGTTACACCCAGGTTACCCTGATTTGATTTCACATATTCATAAAACTTCTGTCACACATGGACATGTTGTTTTTTCATGATTTCAGATCTACAAATGCCTAAATTTGATGACAGTTTTATGTTCTCAAAAACAGCTTAACACCAGTTTTTTTAGTTACCTCCCAGTCATCCCTACTGCAGCATTCACAGTCTATATCATTCTCTCTCTAGTGTGGTCATAAGTTCTCTATTGATCATAGTATTTTTGTTACAGATAACCAACAAGAGGAGGATGAAGGTTTGGGAGTCGATCTCTCTTTCATTGGTTCTCATGCTTTTGCTCGAATGGAAGGAGATATTGACAAGCAAAGAAAATTGATCCTTCAGGGACAGTTATCAGAGGCTGCCCTGCAGAAGCAGCATCAAAGAAAGTAAGACCACTAGACACGTAAGGATATGAGAAACAAAAAATCTGCTGCATGAGCTGCATATATACATAATGTGTTCTATTTTATTTTTTGTGGCAGTATAGCAAGGAAGATATTAACCTCATTTTGTAGATGCAAAAACTTAAAGTTAAGAAAGTTATCCATGGTCACAGTTAATATGTGGTGAAACTTTGTTCAGGTGCATGTCTGATTTCAGAGCTCCTACCTTATAGTGCCTTTATGTGAGGTTATACTCTAAAGTAGAAACTAGGAAAAGGGAAAAGCAGTTACAAAGCGTGCACTTTACTATATTTATAATTAAAACATAATTTACAGTTTAATTAAATTTAGAAGTGTTTTCTTTTCTCCTCAGCTTATCTCAAGGACCTTATAAGGCATCTGACCCATTTTGTTTTTTCCAGGTGTTTTATAAAGCAATTCTGAATAAACCCTTTTAAAAACATAGAAGCAGCTTTTGTACTTTAGGGTAATAACAGTCCTTGTAAAGCTAGATCTTTTTCAAAAAATGTTAAAGAAAGTAAACTATAAATGGCCACTATCCATTACTATAGGGCTGGTTGAGGGTTACCATCTCATAGGGTTGTTGTGAGCATTAAGTGAGCTTAGGACAGCACCTGGTACTTGTCAAGCTCTTATAATTGGTCACTATTATTTTCTTCAATACCGAGCAAATCATGGTCTGTTTACTTTTGCGCTTGGGTATTTGCCATTCCTTTTGACTGGGCCACTTTCACCGTTCAATTCCTGGCTGTCCTCCAGGTTTCAGTTCAGAAGCAATTGTCTCTGGAAACTGCTCTCTCAAGTCTGGAATAGCTGTCACCTCCTGCATACTTTTTTCACACCCTGTACTCACCCAAAGCATAGCATAGCATTCATCATGATATTTTGGAATGATGTCTAGATGCTGTCAGCCCCCATTTACAACGTGAGAATTGCACTAGATGATCTCTAGAGTCCCTTACAGAATTAATAATATATTGTATCTCCTCAATCCCAGGTCTTTGTTGTAGTCTGTTTTTAAGCACAAAGCAAAATAGCCACCAGGGGGCACCAATGAACAGCTTTTCCAAGCAGGCAGTTGCCGTCAAATAATTTAAGTGGTTTCTAAATTAGGCCATGTGTGAAACTCATCTATGGGACGTTTATCTTTAAATACAGAGAGACTGGCTCCTCACATGACTGGGACCTGGGATCGCCTTAGTTACAAATCTCCTTTGCACTCTTAAAAAATGTTAAGGAACCAGAGAGCTTTAGTTTACGTGGGTGGTTATAGTTCACAATATATATCATATGAGAAATTACTTATTAATTTATTTTAAAATAATCCATCTTGGTTTTTGGAAAAATAACTATTTAAAAAATTTAGTGAGACGAATAGCAGTGTCTTGTATTTTTTTTAATCTTGCAAATCTTTTTTTTTTTTTTTTTGAGTTGGAATCTCACTCTGTTACCCAGGCTGGAGTGCAGTGGCACACTCACGGCCACCGCGGCCTTGACCTGCTTCTACCTCAGCCTTCCAAGCAGCTGGAACTACAGGCACACGCCACCACACCCAGCTAATTTTTTGTTTTATTTTAGAGACGAGGCCTCACCAAGTTGCCCAAGCTGGTCTCGAACCCCTAAACTCAGGCAACTCTCTCACTCCAGCCTTCCAAAGTGCTGGGATTACAGACTTGAGCCACTGCACTGGGCCTTACAAATCTTTTAATGTTCAGCTTAATAGAAGACAGCTGGATTCTCATATCAGCCTTCAAGTTGCTGCAATAAAGTGATTTTGGGTAAAGTACATGAAGAAGGAGTATGAATTCGGCAGGTAAAGTGTTATCCTTTGTGTTGGGTGAGGGCCTTGATCTTGAGAGTTTTATTTATAATGGTTCACTTTTTCCATTTGGTTTAGGATACAGTGAACATGTATTCTATAAGATAATATTGTAGATACAAGTATACAGAGATAAAGTCGTCCTCAACTTCTGGGAATTCATGAGTGAGCTCTGCTCCCTTCAGTGTCAGAGGTATTGCAATAGGCATGTTGAGGAAGAAGCTCTGAACAGGCATCAGGCTGTTGTGCACATTCAGTTGACACACAGTTACAGGCTTGGAGCCGAGCACGGCCTGTGGCTTTTCGAACTGTCCCTTGAGAGAGAAGCTATATGTGAGTCAAAAGATTTTCGGATTTCCCATATGTGTGCCCAATCACTGTGACAACTGAAGATGAGGCTGGTCTTACATCGGTAATGCGAGAACGTCAGAAAGATGTTGAAAACTCGACACAAAACAGGCTCAACAGCGTTCAGTTGCGCAAAAAGGGATTTATGAATTGGGCAGCACTCAGAACCAGAAGTGGTTCAGAGAACTTTGTGAGTGAGAGCAGCCAGCTTTCAGAGGCTGACTGTGGAAGCAAAGTACAGAAATTACCTGGTGGGCCAGAACCAGAAGTTTACCTCATCTGGGTGTTGGTCAGCCAGTTGGCCGTCTGTGATTGGCTAAAGCTGGGTTTGGTTGTTTTTGTTTGTTTCCACAATTAATCAGTTACAAGGAATTCCTCCAAGTTAGGTTTTGGCATGGTTCTGTAAGGGTTCCTGGTACAGAAGCAGCCCCAAGCTAATGACCCCCTGCTTATTTTACTTGAGGAGTGATAACAGCTCTTCTCAAAAGTATGGTTCAGAGAACCTGGTACCTTTCTGGGGGTCTGTGAAGTCAAACTATTTTCAAAATTTTACTGAGATTTATTTTTTCTTTTCATTCATATTCTCTTACACTGTTCAGTAGATTCTCTGGAAGTTATTTAATTGTGATAGCACAGTTAATTATGTGCAGAAGCAGAAGTAAGAATCTAGCAGAAATTAAAGAGATTTGCGAAAATTTAAAGAGTATAACTCTTCTCCCTAAATACAGCTTTTTTAATTTAAAAAAAGGTCATGTTAACAGGTTATTGTTTTCAAATTCATAAATATTTTTTTAAATTCTGTTTTTTGGTTTTTGGGGTTTTGTTGTTGTTGTTGTTGCTGTTGTTGTTGTTGTTGTTTTGAGTCAGAGTCTCACTCTGCCATCCAGGCTGGAGTGCAGTGGCACTCTCATGGCTCCCTGCAGCCTCAACCACCTGGGATGAGGTGATTTTTCTGCTTCAGCCTCCCGAGTAGCTGAGACTACAGCCATGCACCTCTATGCCTGGCCTATTTTTTTTTTTTTTGTAGAGATAAGATCTTGCTTTGTTGCCCAGGCTGGTCTCAGACTCCTGGGCTCAAGCTATCCTCCCACCTTGGCCTCACAAAACGCTGGGATTACAGGCATGAGCCACCATGTCTGGCCTCTGTTTTTATCTCTAATATGGTAAGTATTGGTAGATATGAATGGCATAAATAAAGGGTATTTGGGATCCTCAATAATTTGTTAAAATATAACTAAGGTCCTGAGACCAAAATGTTTTTGAATTGATGGCTGTTTAGGAGTTTATGGTAGAACTGAGCTTTAAGTCACCTGTTTGCATACTCTGCCGTGTTTGAGATTGTAGGGTATCATTTAAAAAATGTCTTTTTCTCTTGTTCTTTCTCTATCAGTCTCGTACTTTCACATATTGAGTCTGGTTTAGGTTGATTCTGTTAGTTAATCAGGTTGAACAGAGGTTAAATCATTTGCCTCTGAGAAGTAAGTAGGTTTTTAGTTAGTGATATCTTTTTGAGAGAATCACAGGGGTTGGCAAGAGTTTCATATCACTCCTGTCATAGCACTGTCTTGCCACATCAGTATCTCTTCAAAATAATTCTTTTTTTTAACATTCGAAAACATTAGACATGTTTTCTAATCCAGGTGTTATCCAGTTGTAACTCCGATTTGGGTGTATCATGAGCTAGAAGTTTAATTTTTTTTTTAAGGGAAGCAAGCTAGATAATTCTTTTTTAATAATGCTGTTTTCAAAACTTTAAAAATTATTTTACATGAATAGTTTCTTTGGTTTTTATTCGTGTTCCTTGGTTGGCTTAAGATTCAACTGCCTGTGACACTTATGTCATTTTTCACAATGAAATCATGATCTTGTTCATTATTAAATATTTATTAGACCCTTACTGATGTGCCGAGTGTTATGGTGGATACTCCTGGCAGTAAAGCCACAAGCAAGAGAGATACAGCCTCCACCTTCATGGAGATTAAGGTCTTACAGAGGAGAAAAATGTCAAATGAATTATTATATGAATCATTGTTAAACTACAGACAAGGGGTGCAGTAAGAAGATATAACAAGGTTCTTAACCAGGTTGCACAAGGTCTGGGAAGGGAAAGCTTCTGTTCATTCCAAAGACAAATTTTTCCCTGGACTGTTGGTTTTTCACAAATGGGTTAATTATTGGTCTTTTAAGAGTAATTTAGTTTAAATTTTCTTCATCATTTGACTCTTGGCTGCTCGGGTAGATAGTAATTGATTAACTGGAAGAAACCGGCTTATGTTAGCTTTGTGAGGACAGCATCCAACCTCAGCTGATGGCAACTCATTGAGAAACTATTCAGTATTTCTGCCTTTTGAGCACTCTGGTGGCTACTTTTTCTGCCATTGTGACATATTTTATATGCTTACTTATTTGTGATTATTATATTTTACCCATCAAGTAATAGAAACTGGTATATTTGAAATTAAAAATATTCTATATGGGATAGTTAATAAAATGCCCTATAAGAAAACCAGAAACTATTGTGAGTTCATTTTTTTTAGGGTTCTATTTTTTAATTGGAACAAAGGGCAACATATCTTAAAACACAGTAAACTATAGCAAAAAAAATGAGGGGCAGTTTGTAAGAGATGTAATGGAAAATACAAAAATTCTTTGAATAATAAAGTTTAAAGGAAAACAAGGAAAGCATTGTCTCCCTGTTGAGTGAGGAGATCAGAACAACTTCTTTTGGCTTTTACTCTCTCCTCCCAAAAATTGATTTTTTAAAATACATGACCAGATAATCAAGCTTATACAATCTATAGTAGGAATGGAAGAGACTTATTTAGAACAAAGAAAAAACTTGATGAAAATGCAATCCTGAATTATTGCATTGAAATTCACCTTAGGGTCCTTAGAAACCGGAATAACAGCAGTATCTCAGCAGTGATTCTAACCTTTTTAAAATCACGAGCACTTTAAGAATCTGATGTAAGCTATAAGCCTTCTCCCCATAAATATGTTTATATAAACTTTGTCAGCCAAAATCTATCCTTTGATCAATTGTCAATCACAAATCAAAGTTAAAAACATTTTATAGTTCTTACTATCTCAGGATTCCCACCATGACTAAATCAATTTTAGATAATGGATTTAAATTTTTTAAATATTTAAAACTCATGGAAGAAGTTATACGTTAGTATCTTTTAAACATCAGAGAAAGGAAATTTTTACTTTTTAAAAAAGACATAAAAAACATTGACTGTCAAAGAAAAAGTAGTTCTGACTATATTAACACATTGACAATCAGCAAATTTTTCACTTTACTGATACGCAGAGTGGGTGAAAATAAGAAAAATGTGAAACTGGTTGCCGCAAACTTCTGTTGTTAAGCACAAGTGAAATGGTGTTTTCTAAATTGTCACCCTTTTCATGATGCATCTGAAATTTGCAGACATATCCAGTATTTACCTCAGATACCACTCTGACTAGCATTCCATACTTTGTATTTTTATTCAGATTATAAATCAGAAAAGACAGTCTTCCATGATAAGGTAAATTCAGGTCAGCAGCAACCAGGAACAGAATTTGGAATGATGTAAATTAACGTCAGCAAATGAGTTAAAATTAAGAACTTTAGCAACTGGAGCCAAGAAACTTAAAGAAAGGAAAAAGCAAGTTTCAGAATGGGAGCAGTTATTCACAAGACATACAACTGGCAAATGATTAGTATCAAGAATATGTGAAGAACTACAGATCAGTGAGAAAAGAGCAGGCAATCCAATAGAAAAATGGAGAAATGATATAAGCATGCATCTCATAGAAGAGGAAAGCATATCAAATAAACGTGAACATAATATCAGCCTCATCAGAAAAATTATATACTATGTGAAACCTAACTGAATGACAGAAGTCAAAACAGCTGATATTACTGTGTTGAAGAGGACATGGATTCATAAGAGCTCATTCACTGCTTATAGAAGTGTAATTTGGTGCAATGCTTTAGAAAAGAGGGTTGCCTTGATCTCCTAGATTTGGACATTTCCTATAACCCAGCACTTCCACTCCTTGGTGTTGTTCAAGAGAAATCATACACATATATACCAGTAGACATGTAAAACAGGTTGATTGTAGCATGGTTCCCAATAGCGAAAACCTGGGAACAGCCCAGCTGCTCACCAGTAAGAGAGAGGATTTTAAAAACTGTAGTTTTCATATAGAATGAATATACATTATCTATACAGGTTAAGTATCCCTTATCCAACATACTTGAGACCAGAAGTGCTTTGGATTTCTGATTTTTTTTTTTCTTTTCATATTTTGGAAAATTTGTGCAATACTCACCAGTTGAGCTTCCCAGATTCAAAAACCCAAAATCCGAAATGTTCCAGTGAGCATTTCCTTTGATCATCATGTTGGCATTCAACAAGTTTTAGATTTTAGAGCATTTTGGATTTTTGTATTTGGGAAGTTCACTCTGTAATTGTTAAAATTAATAAATAACATTGAAACCCAGTGATATGAATGAATCTTAATATTATAAGTCAAAAAAGTAAGACCCAAAAGGTTACATGTAGTATGATACACCTGTTCTTTTAATAGTTAAAAAAGTAACTTCTTACATTAATTACATGTAGATGAATTAAAATATTATAAAGAAAGCAAGAAAATGATGAACCTAGGATTCCACATAATTGTGGAAGGGGTTAGAGTTAGGATTAGGGTTAGGGTTGGAGAAAAGTAATATGATCAGATGTAGGTTATTGTAAGGTGCTAATTTTTGTTCTGGGTGGTAGGTGTTGGGGGTGTTTATTCATTAAAGATGACTACTTATATAACTAGTCTTTTAAAGTGGACCACACATGTACCAGTAGTGATGAGAGTGTTGTGAGCCAAAGATGAATAATTCTATTGTGTGCACCTGAATTCTAGTTTTAATTCTAGGTCATTGCATACATTGTTATTGAGTGTCAGGGACTACCATAGGGTTGGCTGGGAATATAGAGACAGATGTGATACATTCTCTATCCTGTGGTCTGATAGAATGGAAGCAGCCATTGCAATAAGTGTGTTCAGTCTTGTACTGACCATGACAGAACTGTTGTTTCTATATCATAGTTGAAACTTGTCTCTACACCACTCCTCCTCACCCCACGTCCCACCACTGCCAGTCCCCTTCTCAGCATACGTATTTGATGGGTATAGTATTTAGATTTCTGTTGGGTTGCTTGTCTTATTCTGTCTTCTTACAAAGTTAATTATCTTTGTAACTATGTCATGTCTGCCTCATATATTCAACTTTCAACTCTTAGAAGCCAAGGGTCTTCTTCATTCATCTCAAAATACCTTGCATAATACTCATGTTTATTATTTCATTCAGTGAAGATTGTAGTCCTTCCTATGATGCAAGATTGCATTTATTCAGTAAATCTTTGAAAAATGAACAACAGATACATGAACAGAGGATAGCAATTAATAGGTATTTATCAGATTTCTGTTATATGCTTTGTGCTAGGACCTGTGGTGCTCATAAGATTTAAGATACATTTTGATGTTTAGTCTTGTGGCAATGATTCAGTCATAAAACAATAAGTAATAGAATTGTAAAAAAAAAACAAAAACTCTGCACTTTATTTTCACTCCCATATGTTATTTTAATGTCATACTTTACATATTTTTATGTTGTGTATCCTTAAATTATGGTAGCCACCAAAAAAATGATAAATGTGAAAGGCAATGGTTATGTTAATTAGCTTGAGTTAGCCATTCCACAATGTATACATATATTAAAGAAAAAATAGGATTATGGACTAGTATAAATAACCTAGGAAAAAACTATGTGTGAAAATATGGAATAATGCATGTTATTAGGGAGAATTATTATAGGCATAGGTATTTTCTTGACTTTCAAATGATTTTTTTTTTTTTTTTGAGTTGGAGTCTTACTCTGTTGCCCAGACTGGAGTGCAGTGGCCACTCCCAGCCACCGAA